GAAATGAGAGAAAGGAGAAAGGAGGGGAACCCGATCCTTTCCCTTCGACCTAATTTCCGTCTACGACCTGACCCAACACCTATTTGTTCTCTGACTCCTTTTTAGGCGGTTTTTCCAGCTATTCACAGCCATTCACCACCTAGAAACTATTCCACGATCTCCCCTCTTCCATTTTCATCCAATAATTGATGAATTTGGCCAAGGTTTTGTGGATCTTGCGTCGATAACTTCGAGGACACCACAGTGGCGATCCGCCACTCCAGCAAACTTCACCGTTGATGACCACCACCAAAAGACTTCTCTTGTGGCCAAGAACAAACCCCAAACCAGTTTGGAGACCGTGGAGTAGCAGAGAAGGCAAATCGAAGTACACGCCTTTCTAAGGTTTCCAACGGGTTAAGGGTGTTTTCAGACGTTTTTTCGGCCGAATTGGACTTCGGCCCAGGTATAAAGTTCTTCCCCTCGATGAGCTCTATATTCCTGTAAAATTTGGTGAATTTTGGAGTTGGGTGGAATTTGTGGTTTCTGTTCGTCGGAAACCGCCACATGCAACGGCACGTGGCCTTCTCAGCAGTCGTCCCGTGATGGCTCGTGTGGTGGTGCGTAGGGGGAATCCGAGGTCTCTCCATAAGTTTTTCGACGTGCCTAATCCGAATTCGTTGTCTGTTTTCCCAAATTTTGTCGTTTTGGTAAAGTTTTACTAAATGACCCCTATATGTATTTAGGTGCGTCGGTTGGAAGTGACCTCGTCCTCGCTAGCATGAACGACTCCTCAACAATGGAATACTATGAGTGTACCCCTTCTAAACTTGCATCTCTTTATAAAATATTAGGCTTTCATTCACAAAAAGCATGATTTCATGAATTTAACATTTTATGCATTAATTACAATTTATCGAATTTACGTTTTACGAAAGATTATGAATTATTGAATTTTCATTTATAAAATTCTATGGCTTTCGAATATGATTTATTTTGCGGATTTACGAATATGGTATATTTATGGATTCATGAGATGAGACTTTGAGCTTTTGAGCTCTGGATTGATATGAGTTTTGAGGTATGTTTTCGGTGCTTATCTAGTGGGTTATCATACACACAACCAGGTATGTAGACGTCTATGACCATAGGACACAATGATGATATTTATAACATACCCCCAACTTCACTAACCCTGGGCTAGTGTCGGTGTGATATGTTATATGTATGTTTCTTCTCTGGCGTAACCCGAAGTCGTACAGCTTCACTTTGTGGTGATGGACAACACCCCCCCCCCACCACAATTTCTTCTCTGGCATAACCCAAAGTCGTACAACTTCACCTTGTGGTGATGGACCACCCCCCCCCCCCCCCAAAAATTTCTTCTTTGGCATAACCCAAAGTCGTACAGCTTCACCTTCAGATGATGAACCCACTACATATACATGTATATGTTATATCATTTTCTCCAGCGTAACCCAGAATCATACAACTTCACCTTCGGGTGATGGACCATTGTTTCTTTACTGGCATAACCCAGTGTCGTACAGCTTCACCTTTGGTGAGGGTTATGCCTTCGGGCCGCTATGATACCCCTAGTGAGTATAGTATTGATGAGATTTACGGATTTACCTTCAGACGGCGATAACAGCCTTATTGAGCATTGTTTTACACATACATATTTTATTGGCATGCTAGAGTTTTCAGAAAACCTACTATGTAGTATTATATATATATATATATGCGTTTTCAAAAGAGGGGGGTTAATATGTTCATAAAGAAAATGGTTTTCTTATTATTAGTATTATTATTATAAACTTTGGTCCACTCACTCTTTTGGTTTTGCGCCCCCTCAGGAGTTAGAATCGAGGTATGCAATCCTGGCGCCAGGACACTTCCGCCTAGGTATCTTCGAGTCTTCTCTATGTAGGACTCGTTCATTGGTTCGTACCTTTTTATAATAATTTTTTTGCATTATTCTTATACAGTTGTATGCTCTGAACACATTCCTTCATTAGTATATTCCTTTCTAATCACATATTTTAATTTGCATGCATGTTTAAAATGGCTTTGTCACCCTCGGGTGTCGGCTAGCACGTGCCTATCCTGGTATTTGGGGATATCAGGATTGGGGCGTGTCAAAAATACCTCCGATCAACTTCATCTTCATCCCTCCATGAAAATATTCTCTTTGTCATGCCTCATACCTCCGAAAGGCTTTCAAGCCACTCTTCCATAAGCCTAGTTGCTCCAACTAATAACATTTTATACTTTGCTTATGCTATAAGTTTGTTGGCATTCTTATTGAATGATCTAAACTCATGGAGTGTGAACCTCAAATTGGTTTAATTTACAAAAAAAGTTGAATTTATGAGAAAAAGGTAAAATGAAGAATTAGGGCTCTATACACAGATTCATTGAACTAATTTTCAATGATTGAGATTAAACAAATTAACTGGATTGGATGATGTATCTGAATGAATTTAGTCAGCACACACTCATCCCATCTCCAAACTGCAGGTAATCAAGTAATCAAATTATGAGCAAATGTGAGCAAGATGGCAAAACTCCTTCAAAAGAGAAAATGATCTTCGTTTGAGGATGCAGGTTCAAAATGGAACAAAAGTCATGCTGAACAGGGTCTTATTGCTGAATGTAGGCCTAGCATTTGTGTTGTATTTCCCTTGTTCGTATCGTTTTCATGACATATCCAATATCTTAATAGGTAATGTTGTATAACACCCGTTAACATAAACGGGTAATATGACCGAACCCGAAATCGACCCGTTAATATTTACGAGTAGTATGACTAGACCTATTACTTGTTAAAAAAATTAAAAATCAACAAATAATCAAATGAAAAACATAATACTAAATTAGTATTTACATATTACATTGTGAAAATTTGAAATAACCAGGAATGATTTTATAAAGAGTAATCTCAATTAAATAGAGAGACTATTCAGGAGAGAATCTAGGATAAGATACCCAATCCTCATAGGATTACGATTACGTTGCCTAATCATCAAGGTAACCTAATTTGACTTGAATTAGGTGTCCATCAATTGGGAGATAAGTAGTATCTTTAATGGCTTAAGCCTAGTTTGTCTTACTATAATTGTATGCCTTTGCTTGGAATTCTGACTTTGTCTGCCTAGTGTGATCTAACTAAGGCTAGTCCAATCTGACTAAGAAGGCTGGCTAGTCATATCTGACTAATATACCTATAAGATTAACTTATTCTGATCCACAACATGTCTCTCAACTTGTTCGCCTAAGCATCACGTGCTATGGACATTTTGGTTTTTCTTGCCATCCAAGGTGCCACATGTGCTTTGGCACAATTGTTGTACTTGTGTTACAAAGCCCTTTTAATGCAATCTTTAATTGTATAATTGCAACTTAGGAATTTCTTATTTGGCATATTAGTAGAGACTTCCATATAAGTACTCTTTATTTGGTTACATTTAATGAACTCACTCTCTATTGAGTACCTATGTACTTGTCTTGGTGTTTTTTGCACCAGTGGCTCTAGACTAGTCATTCTCTAAAGTGAGATGTCATATTATGTACTGATTTTTGGAATCAAATTTCTACACGCCCTTGTGTGAAGAACGATATCTGAAAACCTACAAAACAAACAAACAATCACAAAACAACCTAGCACCAATATGGTGTTAGTCAAGAACTCTCGAATGGTCAAGTTAGTAAAGGATTTTGTAACTCAAAATGTAGGCTAGAGGGAGATAGTAAAGGATACTTTTAGTATGAACCATATGGGTGTATTTATTTATACTAGTTCATATAGAGTCCTTGTTAGGATAGTAATCTTCATTAAACTGGGATTATCCTAGAGGAAATAAAGTTTTTCTTCTTATTAGGATTGTGATTACTTATAAAGCATGCCAATCTTGTGATTATAGAAAATTTCAAGATATACGGATACATCGTCATTGGAACTTAATTAAGTTTCTCTTTTGAGAAACAAGTGGGTCTTTCTTGATAGGATGAATCATGCCCATTGCTTAGGGGTCGATTATAATGACTTGCTCCGATAGTTCGTTACAGTAGATTCAATAAGGACCTTACAACCTATTATGAAGCTTAAACGTTGCTCTAGTCATTTTGGACACCTCGATCTAGTAGTCTGAAAATTCATAGTCCCACACTGATATTAGTAAATTGTCAAGGATAATTGGTAATCTTATGATCATGAACATTTATAATATGTGTATGAGAGAAAGACATCAAGAATTTAACTTTTTAATATCTTGTTGATGCACAAAATCAAGTTGATCTTGGATAACTTAGATCTCACCGTAAATTTCATAAACACAAAAGAACACAAGAATGTAACGAGGCTCAACCCAAATTTCCTACCTCTTTTGACAAATACAAACTCCTCCATTTTGAAGTGGAAAGTTGTGAGTTCTGACCCAAATTTCCTGCCTCTTTTGATAAATACAAAACTCATCCATTTTTAAGTGGAAAGTTGTAAAGTTCTGACTTGTGTGAATAATGTGTATTATATTAAGGAATGCGATATCCACGTATCTTATTTTACTTCACACACATCTTTTTAATTTTTGACCGTCGGATCGGATGAATTAAAGAAGATCAATGGACATAAATTATTAAGGATGTGTAAGAAGTAAAATGTGATGTGTGGATATCACACTCTGTATCAAATTACTATCACTGAAATAGAATTAAGAAATAAATAATTAAGAAGAAAGAGAACTTGGCACTCCATCTTTTGGGGTAAAAAATTTCCACGTCTGATGCGCACGCCAGATTGAGAAGTTGGACCAAATGTCTCCCATCGCCTGGGCTGTGCTGTGCTTTACTGTACCACACCTGTGTCTTATTTGGGTGGTTGGTTGACTAATCAGCCGTGTGTTGGGGTGGGGGAAGATGCAAAACTTTTAACTTTCAACGCAACCAAGCGCTTTGGGCCACGCGTTAACTGTGGGTCCCACCCCCGAAGTCCCACGAGAGAGAGAGAGAGAGAGAGTAGTGGGTGGGTCGTCGGTCTGATTATTTCTTCTGGGTTTTTGTGATGTTTGGGTTTGTGGGTGAGAGGATGAGGGACGTGTTGGCCTTGCAATTACCAATTCAATCTCCAACAATCCCATTTGCCTGAAAATATTTAATAAAATAAAATAAAATTGGAAAGTCTGAATCTTTGCGTGTAAATACCAAACATGGATTAACAATTCAGATTCCTCATATCTCCAACACTTGAGGGCTCTTCCTCTTGGAGAAGAAGAAGAAGAAGAAGAAGGAGAAGAAAAGGAGGGATCTTGTTCAACTCACCCATGGCTCCCAGCAAGAATTCTACTGTAATCACCTCTATGTCTCTCAATTATGCTGTAATTGATTAATTAATCAATCATTTTCTTTTTTGCATTTGAAGCTCCTTGTTGGATTTTTAATTTTAGTGCTGTTTTGGGTGCATGTTGCATTTCTAGCAGAAACTAATGTGAAAGAACTTTTTGATTTACAGATTTAATTTTTTCAATATATGAGAGGAAATACACACACACACACACACACACACACACACACACACACACATAATTCTGAATTTTGTGATTGCACTCAATGCCTGCTGTTGGAATGATTCTGCTGTGTATTGGTATTTTGGCTTAATAAGTACTTTCTTTTTCTTAACTTTTCTCCTTTGCAAAAATTGAATCAAACAATGTATCCGAATCCCACTGCAATCCAGGGGTGCTTATATACTATATAGGTTAGCTGAAATCTGAAGAAACTTGATTTGAGTGTATTTTGTAATCAATGAGCAGATGAGGACATAAAATGAATGGAGATATAGAAATTCGATTGACCCTACCCCAAACGGCTCTAACAGTTCCCTTCTGTAAGAAGTCCCAAGTGTTGCAATAACATGATTCCTCAGCATTGATTTATGACTTTCCGCTGAAATTAGGGCATATTCGCTGTGAAATGAATTTGTTGGAATTAAATTTTATTTTATTTTATAATATTTATCAACTGATGCGCTCTTGTTCTTGTTCATCTATGTTTTATTGAACTCTACTTACCTCTGCATCATACAATCAACAACCGTGCTAGCTCTATCATGTTAACAAGATATCTCGGCCCAGATGAAGTTGTGCTTCTTATCTGATATGCTTCCTGTGGACAGGGCGAACCAAGTGTTTCATGCTCACAACCAGAGAACGGTTTTCTCAATTCGATTTCTCCTTTAAGTTCAGAGAAAGCAGTCCAGGAACTTCTCCAGCAATCTCCTGTTCAAAGCACAGATGACCACCTCATAGAGTTCTCAGACGCTATGAGAAGTATGGTCATTTTCTTTTCTTGAATGGTATACGGTAGTCAATGAAACGATTATCATTAATATAAATTGATTATGTTGCATTCAACTTTCTCTAGCTGTTGCAAAGGCCCTGAGACGGGCTGCTGAAGGAAAGGCTTCTGCACAAGCTGAGGCAGCTGAATGGAAGCGTAAATACGAACTGGAGAGGGCTCGCAATCTACATTTGGAACATAAAGGTTTTTTAATAATTGCTCAACATATTTTAATTGTCATGCAGCTTTTGTTCTTTCACATAGATATACATATATTTGATCATGCAATTTCTGCTCATGTAAAACACAGTTTTCAAATATTTGCTGATATTATTTTAGCACATTTAGAAGCCTTAAAACAGATACTTGGGTTCATCTGAAAAAGTGCTTAGTTTCCTTCAGTTTCTGTCAAAGCCATTTCTTCATTAATTTGGATTTTAGCTTCTTGTAGGCCTTTTCATTGCTTTTGAACTTCTGTATTCGTATCAACCTCTGCATCTAGTGTAGCTTTTGTTTCATTAACTGAGATCAGAATCTGAAGTCCTTAAAGAAATGACTTTCAGAATTGCTTTGTCGTTTGCAACTGACAAACTGTCCGACAGCTATTTTTTTTGGTTTTTTTGATATCTCTTTTGTTGATACAAGATAACAAAACGGGTGATGCGCTGTGGAGAAACAAGATTACACCTAGTGATTGAAAGTTTGAGAGAGAGGTCATAGAATAATTCTGCATGTTAATGGCAAGAGTGATGCAGATTTTATGTATCTTGGTCCCATAACGAAGTAATGCTTTTTACACTTTCAAGAATCATTGTAGTTCATATTGAAAAACTATCAGCTAGGTATACTCCACCCTAACCATTAATAGCACTACTTTCCATTGTCCTACATTTAGGAGCAAAGTTTGAAAATTATTTAGCATTCCGGTTATCACTCTAACTTTATTTTGTTTACATGAGATTTAATTTATTAATTTTGAATAAAAATGAGATGAATTTAAAACCTCTCGATTCTAAAGCATACAGGTTTGCGTTCTTGTGTCATTTTCTAGGATATGTTGTTAACTAGTGAGTAGTGACACATTGACGTGATATGGCCTTACTCTCATATTTTGTAGAAAGTCTTTATCGAACACCAAAATTTTGCTTCGGTTCTTTATTTCATGTTTCTAAAGAATTGTCCTAGGACACAAATTAGACTGTTCAAAGAAAAGTACCAAAGATTCAATGCTAGTATTTGAAGCCCTTGGGGCTAGTTAAAATGGGATAGGATTAGGATAGATCAAGGTTTTATCCACTCTAATTTAATGAAAACAAAGCACCAGAATCTAAAACCAACTCTTCTAAGAAAGACGCCTTTGTGAAAAAGGTTACTGAAATATTTCTTAACAAAATATCATCAACGCAATGTGATGAGATAAAAGTATAGCACTTGTGTCTCTCTTATCCATAAGAATCAACAATCTGAACTTTTCTTTGAAAGTTCAAGGCCAAAGTTTCTTGTTGAAACAAACGACAAAAGGAGAAATGCTCCAAAACTAAAGTGTCTTTTCCACCCTTATGGCCCCTATCTTGTGGTCGCATGGAAGAAGACATCTTTAATTGTTAAAGGGGGTTTCATGATCTCAAAATATTGCAAATGAGTGTGGTAACCAATTTTTTGAGTGAACTGGTTTGGATAATTTGATGTTTGATGGTTTTCATTTTTCCCAAACCAAGTTGCTTCTATGTCCCTCACTTCGTATTCCATCAAGCCTGAAGCCTTAAGCTATAAGGGCACCTTAGATGTACACATGTGCACATACGTGCAAACTATATATATATATATATAGTTGATGTTATATATTTGGAAACGAAACAGCATTTTGATTACTAGTAATTTAGTTCAATTAAATTCCTGCATATACATTCTACTTTTATATTTTCTCTAAACACAATTTATATGAATGGAATGTTGAAATAATGAGTTGTGTATGTGAGGGTGAATGATGCACCAGAAATGGTATTCGAAGGGAACATGGTTAGCACCTGTTCAGATAGTAGAAACACTAGCATCTAAGGGCAAGCAAATGAGATTATAAAACCCTGTTTTGCCAGAAAAATACGCTAAAATATTTCTAAAGTGCCAAGGGTGCTCCACCACTGCATACACCTTATCCAATGGGGTCATATTAATTCATTTCTTCGCCCATCGTTTTTCTCTGCCTTTTGTAAATAGGAAGCTTTTGTGAAGCTTTTTGAAAAGATCTTGCCTTAGAGGGTCTTTTATATCATCATATATTTTCATTTTTCAATTTTCACAAACCTCTTGTCTTTTCTTCTCTAGCCTTCTGGGCGGGTTCTCCATTTATTGTTTTTGCATATCCATTTACTAATTTATCCTAGAAATACTTTTTACTTCTCTCTGAATGCTTCTTGTGGTTGACGATCTTATAGCCCATAGTTTTGAGTTGACTTCTTCGTGATACCTCTGCAAACGGTTAAAACTTAGATCAATTGCTTGGTGTTGCTGGTCTTTCTAAATCATATTTGGACTCATTATCATCAGATTGTGGGTATTCCACTATCATCAGGCTACCACTTTTATGAAAAGCTACAAGGTTCGTGGATTCCGAGTTCTCTATGTAATGCAGTGGGAATGATAGGATTTATGCTTCCATGTGTTTTCTTCTTGGAAATTTTCAAGCAACGGGGCAGGGAAGTTTCTGAAGGTACTTGCTTTGTCTTATACAAAATAAAGTCATTCTGGTGCTCCCACAAAAGAAAACTGCACATTTCTAAGAGAAGGGAATTTCCCTTTCTAGCTTTTTTGGGGTCAATATAAAAAATTAAATAAATAGAGATATATAAATACCTCTTACCTTGAGAGACCAGGATAGGAGAACGTTGTTTAAGCTTTGAGGTCATTTGGTCTTGTACACCAATACAAATTACTAACTGCGAATTGAGGGGTGGTTGTTATTTTGAGTTGATGATGCTACAAGGATCAGGACCAGCTATGCACCAAAGTATAAGCAACTGTCCCAGAGTAATTTCTATTAAGCCTTTAGGGGTTGAAAAGACGACAATAAAGTTTTACTTGCGTAAACTTTTCCAACAGTATATTAATGTGATTCATTTTTCTTTGTTACAGCATAATGTGTATGAATGTTATAACACATTTTTTTTTTAACAGCCTTCAAAACTACTACGTTTTTTCTTATGTTAAAAGTTTTCCCTTCCATAATAGGAGAGTCAAAATTGTAAGAGGCTTGGAGTTAGTGATGTTGGCTCATATATTATGAATTCATTTGGGGTTTCGTTATGCTTAGACTCATGAATTTTTTGGTTAAAATTATGTAGTTCTTGGTAATTGATTTATTGCATTTTCTCCGAGATTACTAAGGTTTAGATGCCTAAGGTGGTGTTTGATGTGGAGATTTCCCCTGATTACCGCGCTTGTTTCTCAATTGCACCACTGTTGCGGTTATCATTCTACTTTTGTCCTTTTGTGCGTGGTACTTTGTGTTGTGAGCTCATTCGCATAATGCGATGTATACTTTGGTTCACCTTAAACTAGCATAGGTGATGTTGTCCTGAGTTTCTTTGTTTCACCTTATTCGTACCTTAATAGAAGGGATTTTCTGGCGTATGTTACAGAGCAATCAAGTAAAGAGGCTAACAGCATTGGAGAGAGGACAGAGAACTTGTCCAGCCAATCAAATGAGCAATCTGAACAGTGTTGTGGGATGAATGGGATATGCTCCCATGAAGTTCTTCGGGATGATGAAAGTTGCTCCGATTCCAAGGTGTTCCCCAATAAATTGACCAGAAAGGTACCCTTATTTATTTGTGTCCTTACCCTCCTGTCCAGCTAAGCTCTGGCGTGCTCTGTACACTGTGATTCATTGTAACTATTTAATTTCTAGTTAAAGTATCACTGCATTTGGATTTGGATGGAGCGAAAAGTTTTAGGTTGGAAAAAGATATTTCTGATCATCATTCTGCTTCCAACGTGAAGTATTTAAACCATATGGAACCACAGTAACAGGAAAGTACAAGAAAAGGAAAGTAATAATCCTAGTTTTTACTGGAAATTAAAGTTAAACAAAAGCTTTCCCAAACTATTTAGTCAAGTATACCACTCTACTGTCTACCATGCCAACAGATAGTAACCCCATGACTTTTTTTTTATCATTTATTACCATTTGATTACGAACACAACTTAGCGTATAGATAATCAGCCTTAACAATTCTTGCCACTTAGCGTATGGTTAGAAGTTAAGATTTACACATGTTCTTTAGCCTAATATCAAATTATTTTTTTTAGTAAGATGTTCTTGGTTATCATAAATTTTTTCGTACATATATTGTATTTACCCACTGGATGCAATTTTCTTTGGCTTTCATAATGCAGTGTTCATGTTAAACATGTTGAAACATTATGACTGCAACAAATTTCACCGGTTATATCATGACATCCATATTTCCTGAGACAGGCATCATTTAAACTTTCATGGTGGTGCAATGGCGACGAGAGTGACCAGCACAAGCATGACATCGTCTCTTTTGAAAGGGGAAACATTACAACTGCAGAGCGTAGCAGTAAACAGGTATAACCCATTCTGTCTGTGCATGTTGCTTATTTTTTCCCACAGTTTTTGTGTCTTTTGAATTCAGTTTATTGGTGGCTCCCATCTATTGTCTATTTAAGATCTCGATTTCATTTCAGATTGCGTTGAAGTGGGAATCTCAGCCACAGACTGTGATTATATTGACGAAACCAAATTCAATTTCTGTTCGAATTCTGTGTGCAGAGATGGTCAGGTGTGGATCTTAAGATTTCCTTAGTGTGTCATCTCTGATACCAGATTTTATTTCCTGCATTAGCTGCTTTTCATATTAATGTAGGCTTAAGCTCTGTGACCTCAAGATATTATAGGGTTCAAGAAATGACGACTCGTCGTTAAATCTTAAGTATGACAATGCTGCAATATTTTCATTATTACAACTCTAAAAAAAAAAAAAAAAAAAAAAAACAGATACGCTTGACATTATGGTAAGGTTGGTTGGGTAAAAGAATATTTTATATAAGAAGGATTGTCCCTGAAGAAACGTAGAGCAATATCAATTCATTACCAATGGCAAGAGATTTCTGCACTCCTTTTTGTTACCCTACCAATTGGATTGAATAAATCAAAAGAGAATCAAGGGCACAATTAAGAGGAGTGCAGGAGGTAAAGGGGAGTGCTGATATCACTTGCCTTGCCAATGGTCTCTCATATGCTTATTTAAAATAACTTCCGTTCATGCACTGAAAAAAAAAAAAAAAAAAAAAAAAAAGAAAACGCCCTGACACAATTTCAAAGAAAAAGAAGAAGTCATCCACATTCTTGTGAAGTCCCTCGTGCCAAAGTTCAATTAAGGACCTTATAGACGATGCTTTATCTTTGCATTCTTGCGTGCATATGTAACTTTATACTTGAATGTCCGCACGTGTTTTTCCTTTCCTCAGTCTTGAATTTAATTTCCAGATGGTTGAGAGAGCAGAAAAAGTTAAATATTTATGTGGAACCACGCGTAAGAGCTGAACTTCTTACGGAGTCATCTTACTTCAACTTTGTCCGTACATGGAAGGATGGTGAGAACTACAGAAGATTGTTTCTTTTTTATTATACATTGGAAGAGACTTCTCTCAAATTGAGACTTGTTTTCATGATGCTCTTTACAAAAGATTTGTTTACAGAAATTTTCGCTACTTGCATATTCTTGTGTATGCACTTCTGTTGTTGTTTCTTTTTTCTAAATAAGAATTAAGTCTTCAAATTCTATTGATAGTAGAGGCGAGTACAGAACAAGGAAAGTTCCAGTAGACTATTCTAGGCTAGAAGAAGAATGTTAAACAAAACAATTGAAATCATTAGGAAGATACTACAAGATCAAGGACGAAGGGCATTAGCATTACACCACATATCTTCCAAAAATCTAATCCTTTCATTATCACCCAACCAAACTGGCGTTTCATCAAGTGTGTGGGAAATAACCTTCTAGGGATGCTTGGAAGTCATTCTACCAGCATCTATAGGATCCCAATTGTTATTGTGCAATTAATATATGCTCCATAATTACATAACCCACAAAGATCTTTTGTTAATCCACATTGCGTTGATTTTTTCATGTTGGACAGAGTTATGTGTATGCAACCGCACATGTGTCTGTTTGTTTTTCAGTTGAGTAATGATCTTATGAAATGTCCAGCCACAAATAAAGTGGAGCGCTAGATGCATGCATACGTTCTTTCCTTTAATTCCCAGTTATGGTTGAGGTGATAACAATTTGGCTTACATGTAATACTTTTGCATAATAATGATCTCAGATGGTTGTTTGTAACTTGTAAATTAATAAATTTTTATTTATATAATATGTTGCTTGCTAATTGTGCTCGGGATTTGCTATTTACTGTTTAGAGCTTCATTTTTTGCTTGACAGAGAGCGAAATAATGCTGCTGCACACAAAAGTAGACCTTGTCGTAACTCTTGGTGGGGATGGAACTGTTCTCTGGGTATGTGCATATATTTCTAAGCTTTAACTTGATTACTTCAGAATGTTACAGTGCATTAAACTATTTGGTTTGAGGGAATTTAAAGTGATCCTATACTGCTACTAGGACATGTGTTGTACCACCTTTTGGTTCATTCTAGTGCTTGTGTGTTCACGTCAATAGCAAATATCTGAGTTCTGATTCATCTCTGTTATCCCTTGTTCCTAAGTGGTAACAATATACATGATGCAATCGTGGAACGGAGGGGTTGGAATTAAACACGATCATATTACTTTTTTCGTTTATACAGTTCAGAAGAATTTATTGTCACAAGTATACATGAATCACTATGCCATGGTTGAATATGTTAGACGTAATTAGAATGTTGTGTAAGAGAGATCAATTGATTAACAGAAAGAGATACATGTGGTTAACTAGCATTCTGGTAATTCGTTACGGGCATTTCACCTTGAGAGTATGAATCCCACATTAAGGAAGGAGGGACCTATGTGCTTATAAATAGTTGGGCTACTCTCCGTATTGCCTATTGGTTTTAGGGTGGAACCCCAACTTCCTTCATGGTATCAGAGCAGGTTGTCCTATGTGTGAAGGTTGGGAAGCCCAATGGCCACACGTGCTCCACATCACTCGATTTGTGTTGTCACATCGAGGAAAGAGGGATCTTACATGTGCTTTTAAGTAATTAGGCTTATCTTTATACTACCAATTGGTTTTATGGTGGAACTATAACTTTCTTCATGGTATCAGAGCTAAGTTGTCCCATGTGTGAAACCCAACGGCCATATGTGCTCCACGTCACCTGATTTGTGTTGTCCATGTGTTGAGCTTGAAAATTCACCCCACGTGAGGGGTCGTGTTGAGAGTATGAATCCCACATCTGGGAAAGGAGGGACCTTGCATGTGTTTATAAGTAGTTGGGCTACTCTCCATATTGCCAATTGGTTTTATTGGTGGAATCGCAACTTCCTTCACTCACATCATTATTAACAACACTGCATGTAAATAACCCCAAGAGGACCAGGGATAAGGGAAAGAAACTGATAAAAACAGACAGAAAATTGGAAACATCACCTATCTTGTCATGTGAGAGAGTATATCTTAAGCCTAACTCCTTGTCATTTTGTTTTAGCTGGATGATTTATTTTTGTTGGGCTCACCAATCCTTATTTAATATTTTTGAGACTAAGAAAAATGAAACCAGAAAGTTTTAAATCTTTTTAACATGAATTGCAACTCTAATTTTTACAACCGTCCATTTCAAGTGTGACTAGAAGTACTAGATGTTACTTTTCTGTGTCGCTACTTTTGATGTAGCCATGTTCTTTGGAGTATCTTGTCCTGTTGAAAAAGGCTCATTTGCAGTGTCTTATGGAGGCTTCTGGCTTAATGTATATTTATATAAAATTTTCGCTTATTCATTGGATTTTTTCTGGTCATTGCTCATGTTGTTGGACCACTGTAAAGTCATGGTGTTTTTCGTGCTGTTATAAGAGGAAGATGACTTTTATTTCATTTCTTTGAGTATGCTACTTGTGCTGTAATCTCAATCAGATATTGAGTTAACTGATTGCTGGGTAATGAACTCTTGAAACTTTGAAACTAAATCGCAGTTCTGTAGTTGATGGTTTTTATTAATATTTTGTAGCACTTATATTGTTGGCGGTTACGACTATTTTATTTTAATTTGCAGGCAGCATCTATGTTCAAAGGGCCAGTTCCTCCTGTTGTGCCGTTTTCTTTAGGGTCACTGGGATTTATGACTCCTTTTCGTATCCTTTCTTTTAGAAGAGTTCCTTTTTAAATAAAATTGAGTTTCTAAAGTTACTCTAAATGTTTACTTGTCTTTTATGGATCTTATTGTGTTACTTTTTACTGTTCCTGTATCTCATTCAAAAGTGATCTTTAACATGCTTCAGAAAGCGAACGCTACCAAGACTATCTTGATTTAATTTTAAAAGGTCCCATTAATATCACGTTGCGACACCGGTTGCAGTGCCACGTTATTAGAGAAGCAGCCAAAAACGAGTACGAAACTGAAGGACCAATGCTTGTACTAAATGAGGTTACAATTGACCGTGGGATATCATCATACCTCACAAATTTGGAATGTTATTGTGACAATTCTTTTGTCACAAGTGTCCAAGGAGATGGGCTAATATTATCAACAACATCTGGCAGTACCGCGTATTCATTAGCAGCTGGAGGATCAATGGTCCACCCCCAGGTTTGTTTTCATACCGTGATCTATCAGTTCTTGTTTACCAGCTATCAAAGACATTATATGGTAGTTATGTACTTTATGGCGCTGCCGTGAAGCCAAAGCAAATATTTGTCAAATATTGGTTTTAATGTTATACTACTGCGTATATCAACCTCTTAGCACACACTCTGCATATAGCGGGGAGAGTTTTCTTTAAAGGTTAAAGATGAAATTATGCCTTGCTCGGGAGAAATATATTAAAAATATTATAGATAACTTTCAGTTTATAGAAAAACAATCCTGGTTATATAGGCTACATTGTGATTTAAATCCTATACGAGAATAATTACATACACACATCAACGTCACTTTCACCGTCCAAAATCATTTTTCCAACCATAGTAGTGATCTGTCCTATTTCTCCTTCATTAGTAATCCATCTTCTTCCCTCTAGTTGGACATAATTTTTTCATTTATCCTCTCAACATGCCTTAAGATTAGGGAGTTATCCATTCGAATCCAATCCTACTTACCAAACGAGCCCAGAGTGTTTACCAAAACTGTTCCTAGGATATTCAAAACTAATCTTGTTAACAAAAAATAAAATGCTACTCACCAATGGTTATCTGATTGATCTTATCATAAATAAGAAACAAGTAATAAACAATATTTAGAACTTTGATAGACAGATTTGCAATAAATCCTTTAAAGCTAGTATCTGTAGCTGTTTGATGCCTTGCAACTACAACATTGTTCTTATGATTTGTTCTTCATAATTGCAGGTTCCTGGAATTCTTTTTACACCTATCTGTCCACATTCCTTATCGTTTCGGCCTCTGATATTACCTGAGCACGTGACTCTGCGAGTACAAGTACCTTTCAACAGCAGAAGCCATGCATGGGCGTCATTTGATGGAAAGGACAGGAAACGGTTGGCTCCTGGTGATGCACTTGTGTGCAGCATGGCGCCTTGGCCTGTCCCCACTGCATGTCAAGTTGATTCCACCAGTGACTTCTTGAACAGCATCCATGACGGGCTTCACTGGAATCTGAGAAAGATTCAGTCTTTCGATGGCCCTCGGGAAGCATAGTTCGCAGTTTTTCTTTCGTATATTATTTTTGCTAGTTTGCAGATCCCGATCGAGTCTAAATCTAACTTGTGTTGTTAAAAAGGTAAGAAAGGGGAGGTGGGTGGGGGTGGAAGGTGAAGAGAAAATCTAAAAGTCGTAATTATTTATTTTACATGTCTCCGGTTTCCCCCTCAACAAGGAGCATAAACGTTTTCTTGTCCAATAAGTAAAAGGCTTGAAGCAGAAAGCATGATAAATGGATGCCAAAAGATTAATGTTACTCTTTCCGTATGAACTTGTAAACTGGATCTTGATCATTGCACGAATATATATAAAAAATTTAGAAATTGTTCAGTCTACGAAATTCACTCTCTTGCATTACATGCATTGTATTTTTTATTTTTTTTTTATTTTTTTGGGTTTTTTGATAAGGATATCATGCATTGTATTGCTTTACATATATGCTTGTTTACAACGCTTCTGTGCACTTATGTTGATAAGTGTTTTTTTTTTTTAATATCATTTTTGTATATGAAATGTCGAAACTGTCCTACAAAATATGTAGTCATTATTTGATCGATAATGCCCTTCTGCAAATACTCATATGGCTTGCACTTATGTTGATATATGTTAGTACTTGATCAGTAGGTCATCAGTACTTAATATGTCGTCATTATTGTGAGGGACCATTCTTGCGATGATGCACAACAATCTCATCGAAATATTGTTAATATTCGATCGATGTATCCTTGTTTCTTGAACAATTGTAGTCTATACTAATGCTACCAATCGCATAAACAAGCTTAAATAAGTTAAAAGGGTGAACTAAAGACAAGCTCAAACTCAAGTACTGATATATCGATCCGATTATGACAATACATTTCATTTGATAATTATGACCTAACTATCGATGATGACACTAAATCATGCGCAATTGCACAATATATAGGTCATATATTGACAACATAACAATTAATGATGATATATCAATCAATAATGATTCTTATTTATGAAGTTTTAGTATTTTTTCACATGCTGCTTTAAATGCCTTCTTTCACTCCTAAAATACTAATGAACAATGATTGTGCAGCCCATGCACACGAATGTGCACAACCACCCATTGAGGCATTTTGTGAAACATTTGGAAAGCAAACGGTTACATAAAAATTCAAAGTGACAACTCTTTAATTTTAAGGCTCTTTTAAGGTCTTCAACAGAAGTTTCAATCTATAATTGAGACATGTCATGAGAAAACTGTAGGTTTTCGCTATTTTACACACTCAAGAGATTTATGTAAATAATTATATAGTTCGGTTTCGATTGTTGTAAAGCGAATTTGTGTTAAGATTTAGTAGACCAATTAAGGTAGGTATTTAGAATGATCGTAATAATCATATAAAAAAACTTGTCCAAATATACCAATTTAAATTGGAAAGCTCAAGAGGAGTAGAAAAGCTTGAAGCTTTAGCCTATAGAGAGAGAGAGAGATCGGTGATTTTAGGAAATGAAGAAGGAGATGGGTGGATATATAGAGGGAATAAGGAAGAGAAATATACTATCCAATTTCATAAAGGGAGGTCGTTGGAATCGTTGTTATGGACAATTTCGTCATTGAGCATAAAAAATGACCAAATAGAAGTTTTTTACAATGTAAATCATTTCAACAACCAAATGACAAAAATGGATCAATTCAGAAAATTTCCCTTTTTCGATTTATTTGAAACATGTCTTAACATTTTTTTTGCTATCTTCTTAGAAAATCGCTCCATAGCAGTCTAATTAACAATGACACTTCATAGGCACACAAAACTAATCGCACTGTCAACCACCTCTCTAATGTAGGGGGTAAGACTCACATACAATAATATGAGACACACCTCTACTGAAGACGTGGTCAACAATACAATCAGTTTTGTGTATTTAATCGGCGTTATTATTTTACTCGAAGATTGTTGTACAAACTAACATGTGTATTACATCACAGCTCAAGCGTTACTGTAATTTTATCTGCAAGCTAATGCAAAGTCTGTTGTGGACCTGTTGTTTGAGGTGGTTTTGTTTGAAGAGAGAAACAGTTTCTTATCCATGTCCTACTCCCACACATAGACCACGCCAACTCTGAATAACTTGCCATTCTCATGCATATTTGCGTGATTTTTGTTAACTAAAATGTCTAATTCATGCGAATTACCAAATGGGGGTTTAAAATTAAATTAAAACCCCCTCAAGGAAAGGTTTGTGATCACCCTATGTTTTAGCTTTAAGAACATGAATTATGGCATTTACGTTACTCCAATCCTATTCTAATCCCTATACAACTCCAACATATCTGTTTGGATGATGGGAGAATGGTGTAAAAAACGGAAGTTCAATGTCCTACTGGAAGAAATGATTGTGTGGTGCATGGTTTTCAATCACGTAATGCACCAGAAGAAAAAAATTAAAATAAACGAAAGCACAACAGCTTCACATGTATCAGCAAACTTAAACAAGAATCATGGACTTGAACCACCCTTTAAAACCCTAAAAACCAATAGATCCATGGCTTGGTTACTTTGCAGGACCAAAAGAATAATTTGGGGAAATTAATCTCTTTGCCATCATCCTTCAAAATGTGTTCCTCACCTATCGCAACTTCTAGCACAAAACAGAAACCTTTACCTCTTGGAGCTTTATGCAAAGCCGTAGCTATTTCAGGAGCAACCCTATTGTTTTTCTACATATTTTTGTTTGATAAATCATCAGTAAACTACCAATTACCTTCAAATCTCTTCAAAACCTTGAAAGAAAGCTTTCCAGTGGCTACGAGTCCCCTCAGAAGTTCCCCTCCTACCAATCTAAGCCACATTGTTTTCGGAATCGTGGGCTCCATGAACACATGGAAGGCGAAAAAGCCATACATCGAAGTGTGGTGGAGATCTAATGTCACCCGAGGATACCTCTTTTTAGACAGAGCTCCTACGCCGGAGTTTCTACCTTGGCCTTCATCTTCTCCTCCTTTTCGAGTTAATGAGGACTTCACTAGATTGAAAGGTTACCCGCAAGTTCGAAAGCCAGTCCAAGTACGCATAGTACGTACAATCTTGGAGACATTTAGAGAGGGTGACAAAGATGTGAGATGGTATGTAATGGCGGATGACGATACTGTCCTCTTGGTTGATAATTTAGTTGAGGTTCTAGAAAAGTACGACCATGAAAAGTACCACTACATTGGTATGAATTCGGAATGTGTCAAGTCTAACTTCGATTTTTCGTTCAATATGGCATTTGGCGGCGCTGGTTATGCTTTGAGTTACCCGTTAATGGCAGCAGTGGCAACAAAGTTGGACGGGTGTATTGAGAGATATCCATACATCTGGGTCAGTGATTTTATGTTGCAGTCATGTTTAGCTGACTTAGGAGTCGCTCTAACTCAGGAAAAAGGGTTTCATCAGGTAATCAATCACCTTTCTACGATCATTATATAACTGGTTATTGCAGTTGAGTGACAAATCTTTGAGAGAACAACTAGGCTACTTGCACACAAGTATTTTATTAACTATAAAAAGTTTGATGAACGAGGGCTAATATTTGGACCACGTTTACTCAATACGTTGATAATCACCTTTCTAATACAAGTGAGTCTCACATACATAGTGGAATCGGCCTATATTTTAGTCATGGGCTTTATTGTTGATTGAAACATAGGCCGCCAATCCAAAGTATTCTTTTAGGCTTACAGATATGAAATTTGAGATTTCGAACCCAAGGATTTAACGTTAATGTATGTAATTACAGATTGATCTCCATGGTGATATATCAGGTCTTTTGTCATCTCATCCAGAGTCTCCTTTCCTCTCCCTCCACCACCTTGACACCATAAACCCAATCTTCCCCTCCATGAACCGCTCCGAGTCCATTAACCACCTCATGAAGTCAGCAAAAGTTGACCACTCTCGTCTGCTACAACAAACCATATGCTACCGTAGACCAAGCAATTGGTCTTTCTCAATCTCATGGGGATATTCTGCTCACATTTACGAAACCATAATCCCTCGGAGCATTCTACGGAGACCCCTCGAAACATTTAGGCCTTGGGTGCATAATGCAAGAGCACCTCTCTACATGTTCAACACCCGGTGGCCATCCAACAATCCATGTGAAGCTCCTCATGTGTTTTTCTTTGATTCCATTTATCAGAACAATACTATTGAAGGAAGACAAACTGTAACAACAACTTATTCTAGAGCATCTCAGCGCGGTTTACCTCCTTGTTCTTCGAGTGGCAACCATTCGGCAGATTTCATCAGCAAAATTCAGGTCCAGTCATTGCCTGCAAAACGTTTGGAGGTCAGCTTTTTCGACAGTCTCTACTGCCTCTCATTTAGCGGGCGTGCATGTCTGAGTTATATACACCTATATATATAGTCTCTCATATTTTTCTTCTCTACTGTTTGTTTTTTAACAGGCTAGAGGGATAGACTGCTGTGATATAGTATATGAACCTGACATTAACACTGCTCAAGTCATATACAGGGCTTGCATGGAAGGAGAAATTATCGCTTGATTTTACAAAATATTATATTATGATCCAAATCGAAAAAATTGAAGGAATTTTTTGACGTGTATCTTCATTAAGACTGAATTCTTGAATGCGAAATAGTTTCTGTTAAGTGTATAAATTAATTAAGCTAACCCTTAGTCCCTTCTTATGGATATATTCTAACCATTCATTTGATAAGGATGCATGAGTGAGGAATGTTATTATTCTCCAATCTTTTGGATATGATAATATTTTCGATATCCACAAGGCTTATGAAATTTCAAGAATTTGTAAGAATTACATTATGTTTTGATGAGGAAAATAAACTTGGGTTGTAAGATTGTCTCTGCGTCTGAGTTCAAACCAAATCTTCCAATACTAGGACTTGCAATGGACGGACTCAAGAGTAACCGTCGTCAACATGGTGATTGGCGATTTTAGGTTTGTCGTTTGATGAGTACAAACTAGAGTCATTAGACCCATTCAACCAGGATTTAGTTCGAGTGACATTTACCATCCAATAATTGTTTGCTACATATTCGAAAAGTGCATTATCCATTCAACAGACAATTCACACACGGTAAATTGGTGACGTGAGATGCTCTCAGAAGTCAGACCCATGCAGGAGTGAATTGTTTTATTTTGATAACTAGTTGCTTCTTGAGATTTCAGAAGAGCTTCCAAAAGTCAACATTGAGTTTATAGCTTGTAGAGCAAAATGCCCCCACATGGAGAAACATGGAATTGTAATAATATCAAACATAGAAAGTTAGCTCAACCATGAGCGGTATAAATATATAAAGAAGTAAAACTAAGCAACCTAGCAATTTTAACTCACATTACTTCAATTATCTCAGGCAAATTTTAACTCACATTACTTCAATCATCTCAGTTTTGCCTGATTTATGCAACAAATTGAAATTCAGCAAACCAACAATGGCGCCTTCAAGAAACTCAATCAAATATGAAAATGATCCCATTGGTAAACTAATGAGCCTTCTGGATTCCTATTAAACGAGCATAGTCCACCCACCTGCCAAAAAAAAGTAGTAAGACGTGGCGCACGAGGGGGGATGATAATCCATTGCAGTGGAAAAGTTTAAACGGAAAAGGTCTTACAATAATGAACCCAAGAATGTGTTTCCAGTCCGAATGGCAAAGCAAATTGCGCTTAGCATGAGCTTGTTTTGATGTAGTAGCGGTTCCAAACACCTTTGTTCAATAACACCAGGCCAATACTTGGTACCTGCCAAAGAATTTTTCATTTTATTATAAGCTTGTGTTGGTAAAAAACCACAAGTTATTGTTCCCATTTCCTTGAGCGTTGTTATTATAGACTTATATGCCCGATATACATGACAAACTAATACAGATAAAATTGAAGTACCTGAGATTGCTAGAAACTGCCATGTAGACACCATATGCAACGCTAGTGGATAATATCGGCACATTCTCAAGTTCACCGGCTTTGTCCTTATCAACAGCCTTCCTTGCGTTGATCAAGGCATTTGTCACAGCTGTGCCAACCTAATGAAAGACAAGGTTCATTATACCACCAGTCAAACTTAGCGCTACTGGTTCACATAAATTAGCATAGAATATGGCAAAACTTCCAAAAAAGATTTGAATGAACCATTAAGAAACTCAAAATTGCTATATTGGTCAACCAGTATCATTGAGAAAGCTAGTACAAGCACACAAAAATATTTTAAAAAATCCATTTCAAATTATTAAAAAAAAGAGGGAATCTTAATGAAACACTCCTAGTACTGTTCTCTTTTAAGGTTAAGGATATTTTAACCTTGAAAAGTCACTCTTGGTACTATTCACTTGCACCTTTATTTTGTCCTTTTGATTAAAACTAAAGTTTTTTAGGACTTTTCGTTAGTTTTCCTAAAAAATAAATCAAAGAATTAGGTAACCATGTCATATAGCATCTACTCCATTATGCTTTGGGTTAAGACGCAACTACAGAAAAATGGGCCAAAAGTAGTAAAGCAAACCAAACACCTTGCACATCTACCCATGCCAGTATGGGAACCGTGCAGATGTCATAGGGGTTAGCGTAAGGCATTTAAATTCATTCCAGAAAGGCACTGAATACGTCGCTCTTCTCTCTCTCTTCGTGGAGAGGGTAAAATTAGGTTTCTCTAAAAAAATGTTGGGTCTTCTTATAGAGGTTTTCTAGCTTTGAATAGAACACCACCAACAAGAAATGCTCTCCTTAAGTTTTGGTTGCCTTAACTATGTCCTGTCCACCGTCCTCTCAGAACTCTAAAGATGCCACAATAGTTGGTATAAGATAGGTGCATTAAAAAGCAAGAAGACAATTATTCAGCTGTAACAAGGACAAATCCATTATATTCCCAACCAAATCTAAGCTTGGGGTCCAGGACGAAACTGAAAAAGAAGAAGAAAGAAACCTAAAATTGGGTCAAATGGTCAAACACAACGCATGTTCGGTGTCATCACCTTGTGGACAGCCAAAGTAGCGTTCGTAGTTCGAAAGGTCACCACTGATTCAACCCAATCCGCAAAACACTTAGCCCTCAATTTACATGCTGTTAGGAGCAATACGATTATTGTATTGAGGTTTAAGAAAGACGGAAATTCAACTGCACTTTCATACAGAAGGAAAAAAGCAAAGAGTCTTTTCTGCCATTCAGCTTTACCTTCGGTGCTTCACCACATTTTTATCAATTATGATGCTTTATCACCACTTCCAGCACAAGGCAGAATAACTGACTCAACATATCAACTAAACATTTCGCTCCTTTATTTTGTCTTAGTGAATGTGAAGTTCCGAAAAAATGTGCAATATGATAAGCTCCTTGTGAACTTCACTTTACCAGCTTTACAAGATAACGACATTTACAGGATACGTCTATGATGCATGAGAGTTGCTGACACTTTTAAGTTGAAACATACATACATACACACATGAACATGAAAACACACCAATTCCAGGGAGTTAGAAGTACTAACCAGGGATGAAGCAGTACCAACAGCAAAGAGCTTGGCCCCATTTCTCTGCCAAAACAATTTAAATATGTTATTCCGTTCTTACCTTCAAACTTCAGATGAAATAAAAGCAAGTTACCAAAGTGTCTTACCACTACTCCACCAATCCTCTGTAATAATGAGTATGATGTTCCCGACATGGCGATCTGTAGAGAGAATTTCATAATCATTTAAGTAACTGTATCTGGCTTTTGATTTGATCTAATGAAACAGACTGTCAGTACAAAGTCAGGAATTCGTAGAAAAGAAACCTGGAAGGCATTTTCGGGGCAGCCATGGAAAAACCTAGTGATTGCTCCTGCATTGACCCCAAGTGGAGGTCGAAGAGAAACGGTTGGGGCAGGAAGATAAACAAGCATGAAATCTGCAATTATGGCCATTACCTAAGAGAAATACATTGCAAACATAAATGACAGAAACTAAACATATTCATTTAAATTCATCACTAAGCAAGTCCAGTACCCACATATGGATTTAAAATCATCAAAATATCCCACCGTAGCTTAAAGAAATAATGTACATTATTCATCTACGAATTTAGCAAGAAATTGGAAGAAAACAGATTGCTTATGACCTCCAGCTGATGCATTTATACTCATAACTTGAGGAGTAATAAGATTGACGAAAACTTTTATTTGGATCATGTGTTACACCTTCAGTTACCATGTTGAATAGAAGGCTACGGACTTAAAACATGCCTACTGGAAAGATATAATACAAGCAAAGCGGCCAACTCGACCCGAAACACCCCATCGCTAAGCAAGCACTATAAAACTACAAAATCCATTTGCATAAATTAGAATGTGTAGCTTCAAGCACACCAATGCCAATTCTCTCTACAATCAACAAAATCGCCAATCAAAAATAACAACACGGTCAGTGTTGATCATCGCTCATTGCTATTGGCTATGCATATAAAATAAATACGAATCAATAACGTAAGTCTACCAAAGCAATGTGATTGACAGAAAGCAAAGTTCATACCACATCTGCAAAAACAACTTCCAGCTCATTGAAAAAGTTCTCTCTCCGCCGCTCGTACTCTGCAGCAGTCTACGAAAACCGAAACAACACCGATTAAAATCGAAAAAAATGAAGGCTTTAATCAAATTTTAATGAAAAAAAGCAGAGGAAACAGAGAGAGGACCTTAGTGAAGAGACCAACGCCGCATTCCATGAAAACCTTAGCAAAAAACAGATCATCAGCGAGCAACCTCTCTCTAAACCCAGCGAATTGCATCAGCCACCTGAACAGACCCGACTTCTCCAGCTCAAAGTACCGTCCCACAACCGACCCGGGAATCCGACCCGCCTGGATCGCAGCCGCCAAGTCCTTGGGCAAGCTCTCCAACCCCCGCTTAGACTCCGCCAACACCATCAACGCCTCCCCCCTGTTCTTTCCGCCTGCATTGTCGGACCCTCCGTCGCTGTCACCTTCATCTCCGCCGCCATCGCCGCCTCCCGAGGAATCACGTCCATTAATCCCCCCGTCGTCGCCGCCGGCGGAGAAAAGGATGCGGCGGAACTGGCGGTGGCGGTGGGTGAGGGAGGGAGGGTTGGCGGTGAGGCGGAGGTGGAGGAGGGGCGAGGAGGCGGAGGCGGAGAGAGATGGGCGGTGAGGGTTGAGTTTGGAGAGGGAGGAAGAGGAGGTGGCGGCGGCGGAGGTGGGAAGGAAGCAGAAGGCGATCGCCATTGTTGGTTGGAGTTTGTTGGAGGGATTGGGGTGGGCGGAGATTTTTATGCGTGAGGGTGTGTGGGTTGGCGGTGGGCTGTTGCACTCTCTCTCGCTCTCTGTCTCTTTGTTTGGTGGGTTGTGGGGAAGGGGGGCGTGAGTTCAGAGGCAGAGAGCAGAGAGAGACCACGGGAGACGAGGAGAGGGAGGGAACAAGGAAAGAGGTTTAATATAGTCATTTAAGAGTAGGGGTTTTTGGCATGCCACCTGGTCTTACTCTTCAAAGACTCCAAACGACCGTTGCAGGGTTGGAGCGCGTTGAGTTCACTCACGCTTGCATTATATTATATTTTAGAAAAGGGGAAATTTGAGTATCAGATTTTCTACTATAAAAAGTTATAAACAAGGTTTCTCAATTCAATTTCGGTAACGTTATCTGTACATTTTTTTTACATCTCACATATCTTTTATTAATTTATATTTGATTGATTTTCTTTAATTCAGTCGATCTGACGGTGACAAATTAAGATGTTGTGAATGAAGTGAAAAGGGATATGTAGATGGCACACCCCGTCAATTTTCAATTTTTTTTTTTTTACTGAAAAACCTAAAACTCGTTCAGCAACTATTTTTCCTTGTTATGAAAAATACTTGCTCGAGTTTTCAAAATTTAATTTTTAATTTTTTTTAATATAAATAGATACCAATTGAATTTTTTGTTTTTTTAGTTTTTCAATAGAAGCTAAAAGTTAAAAACTAATTGCTAAAATAAAATGGTAATTAAACGGACCCAAAGAAAAGTATTGTAATTCTATGAGATTCAAAAAGTGGTCCACCAACTTACTGAAATTATCCCTAATTTATTATGAGAGGAAAAATAATGAAACCAACTAGATTTGATTTTGATTCAAATGGATTCTCGCAACCGCATCCACCATCTGATCCGGTTTTGGAAGTTACAAAGTCAACTCGATCGCTGATTAAAATTAGATTGGCTTGAATTGGATTTGTCAGTTTGGGTGAATTAGATTAATTGGATATTTAACATCCTTAAATTGAGTGTTGAGAGCATAATCCCACATTTAGGAAATGCTTATAAACAGTTAGGCTACTTCTCATATTATCAATTGATTTTATAGTTCAATTTCAACTTTCTCCATGATATTAGTGCATGTTGTCATGCATATGAAGCTCTGCGGCCAAACGTGCTCCATGTCACTTTATTTGTGTTATCCACGTGCTAAACTTGAAAATTCGCCACAAGTGAAGAGGCGTGTGGAGAGTATCAATTCTGCACCGAAGAAAGAAGGGATCCTGCATACGTTTATAACTAGTTGAGCTATTCTCTATATTGTCAATTGGGAATAGAGAGAGATTTGGTGGGCTTGAAAATCGAAGTGGAAATGGGGCGCATTTGTGGTTTTTTGTGTTTATAAAAAGTATGATATTCATTGAAATAAAAGGTAATACGTACAAAATAAAGATAAGATGTTTTATGGGTCTCAATAAAAACATTATCAGATATTTTAATTTGGGCAAAGAAAAAAACAGTGTCCCACACAATACAACTTAAAGCTAACTATCCTCACATGAGCAAAGAGCCAATACATTGTGCTTGAAGATTGTTTCCATTTAAATGAATTGTGTTTTGGTTGTAGGGTTGAAGTGGACTGGGCAACCCACGTAAGAATTCCTCTCTCATCACCCCATTCTAACAGAGATGAGAAATGCCAAAAAAAAAAAAAAAAAAAAAGATTATTACAGATAAAATATTATACCCTCACTAGCAAGGTTCCGAAAGACGCTAGATATTAGTCGGGCAACAGGCTGGGGCCTAGCGCCTAGGCGGTCAGGTGGGGTCTAGGTGGGCGCCTAGGCGGGCTAGACGGATTTAATTAAATCTATTATATTTCGTGTAAATAAAGTGTTTGTTTATACTTAAAATATAAATGATTTCATCATAAACTACAAAATGGAATGACACATATATTATGAGTTACTGGAACATAATGAAAACATGGAGAACACTTATATAATGTGTGTTCCTTTAAGTATTCAACAAGTCTCTTACAATTTATTGAAAAAAATAAAAAATAAAATGTAAAATAAAAATTATCTATTTTCTGTCTAAGTGAGTCGTAACCTATGCAGGTGTCTATGCGGGTCTGGATGGCTTCAGTAGGTCTAGGTGCCCCTTCTTAATTTTCAAACGTCTAGGCATTAATCGGGGCAGTGGCTAACCGCTAGGCGGGTATTTTTAGAACAATGCTCACTAGCATCCGTCAAAACTTAAAACCAAGTTGTTTTGGGTTTGATTCTAGTTACAGGCGAATTTGAACCACATTATTTGTTAGCTAATTGTGAGACTACATAATGTAGATAATATCGTTTGTTAAAAAAAAAACCAAGTTGTCTTAAGCCAACGCAGTGGTTTTTAAGGTACATTGCTCTTTCCTCTTTTCTATAACAGGGAAAAATCGTTTTTACTTTCATACAAGAATAAAGGAGGAAGCCATTTCTGAGCAGATGACAAAGAAGACTTGTAATTTTATAAGAAAAGAGAAAAAGACTTTGAGCCCACGCAAAATTCGAAATCCTCCCAAATGAAAAACAGACAGATTCTGTTTTGGTCTAAATTAATTTACAAAGAGGTCCTTCAGATCGGCGCTTGTATTCAAAACGCCATTATGCTCGCGTGAAAAATTGTTCGAGTAGGTGGATTGTTGTAGTTGCCAGGCGTGAAAGACTAAACAAGCATGTCCAACGTGGGCTCGGTTAAGGTTTAGTGTTATTTTCGATGTCAAAGTACTCCTCTTTCATACGTATACCACCCTATACTATATATAACCTAGTATGGAATCTTACGTGATGCATTTTTGCTCATAAATGTTTTTACTAGTAGTACCTTGTTCGTGTAAGTAACCTCTTATTTATAAGAGCTTCTTCGATAGGTTTGCTATCTCAGCCCATTTGGCTACTTTATTGTAAACATAAAAAAAAAAATTACTTCCAAGAACCTAGCTATTTTATATGCTACATTACCAGAATGACCCGTTAAATCTAGCCCAAATAAAAAGAAGAAAGCAAAATTTAAACTTAAAATACTATTATTGCACTATTTATGGAGAGAGAAAGTGAGGATGAAAAACACAGACAGAGATGAGATCGCTCGATATTCATTCACGTAAAAGAGGTCGACGGAAACCCAAAATGGTTAAAAATCTAGTAAAATCACAAATGCAACCACATCATGCTATGAGTGAAGAAGTCTGCACACGCTTTGTGATTTTGCTTGTAGTTCTCATAAATAATGAAGAGTTGGGAAAGAAAACAAAAACAAAAAATATAGATTTAAAAAACAGTTCGAAAACATTGGAAGAAAGAAACATACGTACATATACGAGTTGACAGAGTTGATTGGCAGAAGAAAATAATGTATTTATAAACTGAAGGACAAGATGCCAAAATATGGGTGTGTGGAAACCATCAATCAAATGCGACTTTGGACTTTGGAGTTGGACGGACCCGCCCGTTCCTCAAACATTGGAAGTCGTCCTTCGTATTTAAACTAATCCCCTGCGTTTTGCTTTTTCTTTGTCGTTTTGAGATTTTTGAGATTTTTGAGCTTTGAAATTGGAACCGAGCCAGAAGAACCACCGCCCAAGCCGACAGCACAATACTTGGATGATTTTAATGCTGGGACTTCCTTGCCTGCGTCGCCCATCCTTCCCGTTGCCATCACATAATTTGTTATTTTACTACCAACCTTTAGTTTTCTTTCTTTTCTTTTTCAATATCCTTCTAATTATAATAAGGCTTAATTGGATTATTAGTTTTTATGGTGATAGGATAGTCCGAAAAATAAAAAAAAATAAAAAATTAAGATTCAAATTTGTGATGAAGTCTGTTACGATTTAGGCCCATTTAAAATTTTTATCAACTCTTTGTTAATTATTAATACATAAGACTCACATGTGAGACTAAAAAGATAAAGTTAGCCTCACATGTCTTACATGCTAACAATTAACCGAAAGTTCTGTTTAATCCCATATATGTGGTTCATATGCTAATGATTAATGGAGAGATGACTAAATATTTAATTTTGGGCCTAAATGCTAACAGACTTCACCAAACTGACTTAAATCCTAATTTTTTGTTGCCACATGAGCTATCTTTGGACTACCCTACCACCACGGAAACTAATAATCCAATTAGGCTTAATAATAAAGTTACGGGGTGTGACTTTATTGCCACGTAATACTCACTCACGTGTTACGAGTGTTTTAGTTGTTAGATTTGATTTTCAAAACTATTAGATAAATCTATTTTCATTCACAATCATCATTTTTTCGTACCACTCAATTTTACGTACCAGTGTACAAAAGCTAAAAGTTATGCACATTCTTCAAATAGCTATTTGATAATGCATTTCAATTAACACAATTGTCTGTATGCTAAGTCATCACTAAAAGAATTACCCAAATTCGAATTGCTAGGGCATAAAAATGTACAAAAAAAAACACGTTTTCTAGATAAAGCTGAAGTGAAAATGCGAATCCATATGTTGACAGGGAAAGTCAATATCCAATCCTCACATGAGGATTCAAATTTCAAAGTAGGGTTAGAGATCTATTCCTTGTGCCATAAAAAATAGTGACACCCGATGATAATTATTATTGGCTTCTGAGCTTGTACAAGGAAGGACTTCTTGACTTTGTTAGTGAGTAGGATTGAGGCGTGTTACCTATAAAGGCTTGAGGTACCTCAACACAGAGGTTGAGCTATGATTAGAAGTATAAGGAGGCCAAAAGATTGTAAATTAAAACTAAAATATGGTGACTCGTACTTGGATTTGATATTACGAGAGAAAATAATAGATGTGCTCTTAATAGTAACTCTAATACCAAATTCAACGGTAAATGATCATCAATTCTTAGATTTAACGTTGTGTGAAAGTATAGGTAAGGGTCCTAAAAAGTAAAGAACTTCAGGTGTAAAAATAAATTATTATTTTAATTGATTGGGCTACAGGCAGATGTTGAAAATAGGTGGGTTGAAATAACCCACCCAGACCCAAATACTGGGTCAGAACGGAATCCCGATAAATAGGGTTAGCATATTATACGGGTCAAACTAAAAAAAGGGTTTTTTTTTGGACTGCTGGTCCGAAAAGAAAAAAAAGCTAATTAAGTGGGCTGCAACCCAAAAAAGTTAAGAGCCC